AGGGAGGGGAAGGGGGGGCGGGGTGCTGACGTACACGGCCAGGGGGCGTGGCCATGTACATCAGTGTTACAGACGCACAGACACTGGGCTACTATATGATGTTGTTTTGTAGCCATTTTAGACTTCATACTCACTTGTATCACCTCTCTCTAATTTACATGTTCGCTCACTTGAAAGGCTACTACATAGAGAAAATGCAGTCCATGTTACCTCTTGTTAAAGATTCACACAATCAGTAGAATTAAAATTATAAATATTGCTTTATTAAATTAATTTTATCAAACTCCTAGAAAGGAATTATAGGATTTCAGTTCCAGAAACTAAATGAAGGAAACTCATTGCTGTCTTTGCAATTATGTAAATACAGATAGGAAGAGGCTGTAAGGAGTCCAACTGCTCCGAGTAAAGGCAGGGAAAAAGACAAGTTCCCTTAAGAAACACAAGGCTCAGAAATATAAAAAGTCCTAGAATACAATTAGACTAATAATTCAGTGATGGGATGTAAACTGTAACTGCGTATTATTCAGCAGTTTCCTTACAGTCCTGAACTATGAACAGAATAAAAACGTAGCTTACACAGCAGATCTCCTCCCTCTCCAAAAGAAAAGTAACATAAAAAGTTAAAAGAAGGCATTAAACTGTAAGGAAACTTGCCTCCATAAATATTAGAAATTCCCCCATTCCCATATCTATTATATAAAGTAACTAGCTGTTATAAATCAGATTCAAGTACGACAGGTGGTTGAGGCAAAATCCAGAATCTGTTCATAAGAACTGATACTGTAATACAGTAATTTGGAAGAGACAAGCAAGTACCAGAGCAGTGATCATACATCAGTGCTGCAGTACCATAGATGTGATGTGCCAGGAGAAAACTAAGATATGTCTGTTTCCAAAAATTGAGGACATTCATTTCACTCTTGGGTAATCTAATCTTAGTGCAAAATAGATGCTATGACAGCTTTAGCAAAGAGAGGTGATGCATCTTTAAGGCCAAAATCTTGTTCAGTCATCACTGTCGCTTCCAGATTCACTCAACTGCAAGTCATTTCCTAGAAAAGAAGATAAAGTCAGTTGAATGGAACTCACACAATAACTATCTTTCCAGAAAGAAAAGTTCTTTTTTTTTTTAAACCCATCCAGTATTTTCTAGTAGGAATTAAACACCAAAACATTTGGTAATGTAAACACTCATCTGTTATCTTAACTATTGGAGTGGTAATCTTACTTATGTGACCTTTGAAAGCCATGCACTGCTCACACTCGACCCACCTGTTGGTGTATGGGAATTAGTGCAAGGCGGCCACAGAGGACTAGCTAGCTGTCCCACCCACCTTTTGATACTTTATCAGCAGAAAGGTGCTGGGGAATACCGTTTCATTTAATAAAAAACAAAACAGGATACAAGTTATTGGTGTTTGCAGGAGTCTAAATGCCTCTTGGATCTGTTTGAGAGCAAAGTAGTATCCAAGAGGAAAACACGTTGTTTGACGCACCTTAAAAAAACAAAAAACAAACAAAAAAACCACCACAGGTTGTGGAGCAAGACGGCAAACAAAAGATCAAAGGAAATATTTATGTATACTGTCACTGAAAAATTAATGGGAGTTATTTTTAAATGGGGCACAAGAAAAGTGATTATCCTGTGCTTGCAACAGCTGTCTACCTAGCACCAAGTAAGTTTCCCTGCTATTTTTTCCCTCCGTTTGACAGTTTCTCTACCACTTTTCTCCACCATCTTCCACACAGGATGAAGTTAAAGGGGTGTTGTCAACAGTAAATCTGCATTTTTTATAAATGAGTTGGATGCAATTTCAGATACTGCATAAGTTCCTCTAGTCCCCTGCCAAATTGGTAGTTATACAATTGCATTTTCCTTTATTAAAAAATGAAACAAGGAAAGAATCTCTCTCCTGTTGTTACTGGGTGAAATGCTAGACAAATAAGAAAGCACCTAATGAAACCAACTACACACAAAATACTGTCAAATGCTCCTAACTTTGTCAATTACTGCAATCTTCAGTATTACTTAAGAGGTAAGATGAGAACCAGGGGACAGTATAAAGTGGGAGAAAGCAGATATGGATGGACCTCCAGATTGGCAGGTCAAGGTCAATGTAGGTCAAGAGTGACTGAAGCTGATGGAGTTCCCTAAAACACAAAGCTTTGTGTTTACACTTCTGTTGTTTTGCACCCTATCCTCAGTTAGCTTTCTCTCTGGAAATGGATACAGGATGGTCCTTTACAGGAGAGCAGCGAACAGCCTGCCTGTGTCAGTCTATGGATGTTAAATTTAGATTAACTAATCGAACAGTTGATGGGATTTTCATTGACTATCTGATGAATCTATAAGGGCACCTCCTTCTCTGAACTGTAGCAAAAGCCCTGCCAGCAGTTGATACAGTTCAAAAGTGGAAGCCCCGCAGGGAGCGCAGGGCCAGCAGGGGACTGGCCTCGTGCTCTCTGCGTTGCCTCAGCCTTTGAAATGTACAAAAGCCCTGACTGGGCTCGTGCACATTCCAAAAGGAAGCCCCACAGGGAGTGTGGGACCAGCAGGGGACTTCCCCACTGGCCCCTCGCTCCCTGCAGGGCTTCCTTTTGAAATGTACAAGAGCCCTACTGGAGCTCTTGTTCATTTCAAAAGCAGAATCGCAGCAGAAGCGGCACAAGTGGATACCCCACTTCCACCGTTTCCTGCTGTGCCTCTACCTCTGCTGCCCCCTGCGGAGATGATGCTGGGGGGATAGAGGCAGCAAGGGGCAGGAAGCGAGTAGTCACATCACTAGTCGACTATCCGATAAGCTTATGCTTATCAGATAGTCAACCAGTTGCTTACATCCCTATGTCAGTCCCAAAGTTTTTAGCACCTTTCCTGCTTAGAGTATCAAAAGGTGGGTGGGGAAGCTAACTCGTCTGCTGTGTCCCACTTGCATTAATTCACACACACACACACACACACACACACACACACACACACACACACAGAGAAACAGGTGGGTTGAGTGTGAGCAATGCATGGCTTTCAAAAGTCACAAGTGATGTGACCTCAAACTACCACGGTGTGCTTGTAAACTGCACAGGTGGAGCCTCTGGAGTGCAGGAGGAGAACCGCTGCAGAGCCATGCTCCTCACTGCAGCCAGTGTGCAGTGCCTTTTCATCTCAGATCATTCTTCTCTTTTGGTGCACCTAACACTGCAAAGACATTTGTGGGGGCCAGAGTCGGTACACATCTGCAGAGCTGCTTAAAGCGTTAAATGGGTAATTCTGGATTAGAGCTAAATTCTATGCAGGTTTATAGCTAAGCCAGCCCAAAGTTTTAGATGGCTCACAAGGGTCAGAGGATTCACCCCCCTTGCAGCAGAACTCTAAAGTCCCACAGGGACAGTGGGCTCCTTGTGCGGTTTTGGTATTGCTGCAAGTTTAAGATAGTGTGTTTCACTATGACAGTTTTAACTGACGCCATCAGCCACCTGTACTTGGACATAAATCTTTCAATGGGAGCTTTGCCAGCTGTGAACCAGCCATTAGTCACTAAGACAGTTCATTTTATTCTCAAAAGTGTTTTCTATAAATGTGTGTAGAATAACACGTTTGAAAATACTTCCATGTCTGAGTGAAGGGACTGAGGTATATGGAACTTTCTAAATATAGGCTTCATCTAACAAGCAGCGTATTTACTTTAGGCCATCAAAGTTAAACCAAAAAAGTTTAGCCCCCTTGCATAACCATTGAATGTTTTCGGACTACTCTTTTTTCTGTGAAGGTGATATGTGAAAATAAGGCTTTAAATAGAAAACTGATTGTAAGCTTAGCTATGTCACCACAATATACAACTGTACTACGTCATTACCAATTTTAATTCTTTGTATTAGTGAAACAAAAGGGGACATACTGTGTATGACATTTTCAGTATAACCAGCGTAAACTGTCCAAAAACTTCAGTGTACATTATCACTAAATTAGGGCCTATAATCAAGTTTTTCCAAATTTGGAGCCTGCCATTAGGAATCCAATTAAAAAATGTGGCTTGTTTTCAAAGGCAACATCAATAGCAGCAGCGGGTACTCATCAGTTCTGAAAAGTTAGACGATGTTTTGTTTGTTTGGTGCTAAGTGAAGACTTTTACGTAGGACAGTCTTGCTTGCTGCTGTTCAAACCAGTGACGTGCCTCTTTCTGGGCAACAATATGTATTTAAAAATCCCAGTTGTACTTTAAATATCGTAAGTTTGTCATAATTGTAATAATCTCCTATCCCTTCAACATGGAAAAAGGTAAGAAAAATTCTCTCTTCCCTACATACATAGAAGGGGATTGGTACCTTAGAAAAGACTCTATGAATCACAAGATTTCGGAGTGGATTAGGACAGTGGCTCTAAACCTTTCTAGACTACTGTACCCCTATCAGGACTCTGATTTGTCTTGCATACCCCCAAAGTTCACCTCAAATAACTACTTGCTTACAAAATCAGATATATGAATACAGACATGTCCTAGCACACTACTACTGAGAAATTGATTACTCATTTTTACCATGCAATTATAAACTAAATCGATGAATCTGAATACAAATATTGTACATACATTTCAATATGTACTCATATGCAGAAGGGAATAACCAAGTCATTGTCTGCATGAAATTTTAGTTTGTACTGAATTCACCAGTGCTTTTTACGTAGCCTGTTATAAAACCAAGCAAATATCTAGATCTGGGTGGGGAACCTAAGGCTCACCTGGATCTGGCCCCGAGGCTTGGAGCTCCCCCTCAGCATTGGGGAACCTGTGCTGGTGCTCCAGCCCCCCACTGATCTCCTTGTGGGCTGAAGCACACAAAATCACCTAGCCTGGGTTCAACTGATTTTTCTGTGGGTCAGTGGCCCCTGACCCAAAAAAGGCTCCCCAACCCTGATCTAGATCAAGGGCTCTCAAATGTAATTGCATCAGGGCCCCTCTTCTGACAAGAAAAATTACTACATGACCCCAGGAAGGAGGGGGGGGGGGGACAGAAGCCTGAGCCTGCCCTCAGTTGGGTGGCCAAAGAGAGTATGAGCCTCACTGCCCAATGTGGGGAATACAGGGGAGGCAAAATAGAAGCCCAAGGGCTTCAGCTCCAAACAATAAGATTTGGGATTCAGCTTCAACCCAAGACCCCAACAAGTCTAATAACACCCCTAGCGAGACCCACACTGAGAACCACTAATCTAGATGAGCTGATATACTCCCTGGGTGACCTCTGCGTATCCCCAAAGGTTTGTATACCCCTGGCTGAGAACTGCTGGATTAGGATAACTCCCTTTTGTAAGTGAGTATTATCAGAACAATATTATTCCAGTATCATCTATTCAGGAAATTACACTCGCATGTTTTGGGAGTGCCAAAGCAATTCAAGCATTTTCAAGTCACATTACTGCCCTACAGTCCCAGTACATGCAATTGTGAGGAAGCCAGTATGGCCTATGACATATTAAATTGCATCAGCTTTAATTTAATATTCTTGCTGATCAAGTAACTTTTAGCCCAACTTCTAATTCAGAATAAGCAAACAAACCCCGGCATCTCTTCCCACGATTTTAAATTACAAAAGAGAGATAGTTAGAGTCTATGGTTTCCTTTTAGGTTTCTGAAGCTTGAGATTGTTCTTTTTTTAGTGCACTGTCTTTTTGTACTTACTTAGTGTATTCATCATATGGCCACCACGCTCTTGTGATTTGTTATGACTGGCATCCATGTCAGGGGTGGCCTGTTGTGGTATGGCAGACATGGTAGGCTGTGGTTGCAAGCAAGGCATTGACATAGGGAGAGAAGGCCTAGCCCCTTCATCTTCTGAATCACTAGAACTATTTTCACTGCTGGATGAAGACGACGATGAACTTCTTGATTCAGATGAACTGTCAGAGCTACTCATCTGGTCCATGACGCTAGCCTCTGCCTTTAGCTCTGAAAATACGATGCAGAATAACTGAGAAACAAAGCAAGATAAGTCTCCTGGTTTAAAGGAGATGGTAACAAGGGAAGTGCTGCACAAGCGACTAGAGTGAATGTCACAATATTATTACAAGTCGAGTGATTAAACTGAAAGACACAAGATCCAGGAGTAAAGTGTAAAGTACAAGCAACTTGATCACCTTACTTGTACGCTATACTCTTCTCCTCCACTCTTTGCAGTCTTATTTTTAGGCAATACGCTTTTCAGAGCAGAGATGTATTAGGGTTCAGATAAGGCTGGCAGCCAAGGTGCCCCTACACGCCAGTGGGCAGCAAACCCTAACTCATCCTTAATATCTGCCTCTGATTAGCAAGTTTCATTTTTTCAGGTTTTGTTTAACAGATGTCTTACAGGAGTCAATAACTCAAGTTAGAATCAAGGGACAAATAGTGAAAAAAGGAACTGGTCAGTGGAACATCTGATGGTGCAGCAGCGATGGATAGCAGCAATTTTGGCATTATAACCAACATGTACATGTTTGTCTCAACATTCATTGTTCTCAATCCCAAATTAAGCTTTGTGGGATACATGGAGTGATTGCCCATATTTTAAAATTATGCAGCAGTTTCATTAAATCTTTGTTGAATCTTTTTATAGAACTAGGGAAAATTTAGAACAGCTCACAGGAAACCATCCAGACCCCAGCACATAATTTACTGTGGCCAAACAAATAAACCTCATTGGCAGCATATAGGGACAGAGCTTTGGGATATGTTAGTCTTGGTGACTCATTCAGAACAGGTTTTAAACAAAACAAACAGACCATGGAGAAAAATTCTCAGGTTTCTCATGCACTTGAGCACCACTTCATTTCTTTTGCAACCTTTGGTATTTTTAAATTGCCTTTTTGTGAAGTAAGACTCTCTGGTCAAAATTTGTCTAAACCAGAAAGAAAGGCACCTGCATAACGAGAGAGATCTGGAAAAAAGCTGTTTAAAAGAAACCAGAGCACCCTTAAGAGCCAATATCAATTCAGAATAATGAAACTACCACCTGTTAACATTCAAATAGCAAGTGATTAACACTGCTTTTCTTCCCCATCCACTAAAAAAAAAAAAAAGTGAGTCTCCTTCAAAATTAAATACAAAGATTCCTACCAAAGTAAAGTCTCCCCAAAGCACAAGAATATGATTTATATTATTTGGGGAGAATGTGGAGTCTCCCCAAAGCACAAGTTCTCAAGAATGAGACTTATATAAATGTTCAGTTGTCTCTTATCAGAGGGGTAGCTGTGTTAGGTGCCACAGGACTTCTTGCCGCTTTTGCAGATTCAAACTTATAGACTAACAGAAGTGTTGGGGCATAAGCTTTCGTGGGCAAAGACCCACTTCGTCAGAGTCTTATTTGCATGCATCTGACAAAGTGGGTCTTTGCCCACGAAAGCTTATGCCCCAACACTTCTGTTGTCTCTTAACCCTACAGGGAACCACTTCGCAAGTCTGATCTGATTTTGAAAAGTAGGTTGCTGTTTGAATCGCGGATTAGATTTACATGATAATGAGTCTATACAAAAGTAACGTTTTATTTAAAAAAAACTAATGCATTTTAACCAACGATTTGTTGTACACAAAAGGCAAAGAATGAGGAAGGACAGGTTGAGTGAGGAAGTGGGGGATTGGCTAGCATGGCTTCAGTGCCACAACCCTACAATTGAGCCGGTATCTTAGGGTAGCAGCAGTGGCAGGACTCAATGAGAAGGAAAGCAATGCTAATTGTGACCGTCAAAAGATCTGACTCTCAATCCTAAATGGTTTCATATACTGTTGAATTACTACTCTCCTCAAAACAACCACTAAACTTTAAAGGACACTGCCTAGGTAACAGCTTCCAGTGTGCACCTCATTCAAAACCCTCATTCATGACTCTCTACCTGGCTTTTTCTTTGTAATGTTGGTCTGCACAATTTATGAAACAGTAAGTGATACAGTTGTAGTTTACCTCTCTCGATGTCGTCCATTGGAGAAGATGGAGACATCTTTTCTTTTGGTGGAGAATTTTTAACATTGTTTGGAGTCTTATTGGCATTTCGCATTTGCTGCTGTTGCTGCTCAATACGAGACTGAACTTTACTGCTTCCTTCAGCTCTGTACGACAGAGTGAAACATTTCAATTGATTCCAGAGAACAATATTTAAACAAAATAAAAACACACACTACTCTGAGCTCTGTGTTAAGCTATCCATTATGGTTTCCTTCAATGTATTGCTAGTGTTTTACATTTCTAACACAGTGACAACGGTTCCCAAACTTTTGAATAAAGTGACTCACCAATTGCATTTTGTATTTTTTGTGACCCAGTATTACCTATATGTACCCTCCGTCCCAGCACACCACAACCCCCCCGCTATTCCTGGCTGGGTGCAGCCCAGTACGGCCTCAGAAGAAGGAAGTCTGGAGTACAAGCTGACCCCACACTCATGCTGCAGTGGTGACTTCTGTCTTGTGGGACCAGAACTGGCTACCCACTCCTGGCACATGCGATCACAGCACTGCTCAAGTTTGGCCTGATGTCCTTTCCCTCACCATCAGACTTCCCCTCTAGACCAGGCTGGGAGAGGTGTATATCTGCCTAGGCAAGGGCACAGTGATAGGTTGCCATATCCAAGGCTAGATTAACATATCTTGGGACCCACTATTTGGAAAACACTGCAATGCTACAGTGATATATAGCAACATATAGGGACAAGGAGTAGTGTTATTTTGATGTACAAGGTTCATTGATGCCATTTGCAGTGGCCTTTTAACTGCCCATCCTCTACTATGCTGTTTCACATTTTCCTCAGTCATCCATTAACACTTCATTAGAATTCTGGTAGAAGGGAGTTATATGTGGACAAAGCATCAGAATGTGCATTAATGGGAATTACATAATCAGTATCACAAGAATTGGTCCTCAAAATTTTGCTAAAGTCTTTCACAAAAATTTAAGCTATTTTATTTACATAGTTCAAAGTCAGAAACATCAGCCAAACCATTTCATATGTATAGCAAAAAGCAGTTTTCCAAGCTTACTATGAGAAAACAATTATTGTCTCTTGCAAGGATATGCAATGTTTCTATTTAAAACCCATCCCTACCAGCCTTGACTTGAAAGCTATAAAGTCCTTTTTTTTTCCCCTCAGAAAAATAATGACATACTTTTTCATTCCATTGAACATGGGTAGGTTTTTGTAAGGATCATGTTTGAAAAAAAGTTTAATTTTGCTAAAATCTAAGAATAGTTGGTATGTATCCTAAAATAGATTTTCAGCTATTTCTAAAGGTTTGTCTCCATGGTGTGTTGGTACACACCAGCTAGAGTATAAATTCTAATGAACAACTATGACATGCACTAATTGGCCACATGGTCCCTGCTGGCACACACTAAAAGTTTTCTGTGTGCTGATATATTCCTGTTTCAAAACTATACTAAATGAATGTGCACATGTCTACGTGTGCATTAACTGGCAAACAAGGTGGTGTGCAGTAGAATATATACCCCACCTGATGTGAACCAAAATACCATGTCCTATACCATTTTCATAATGAGTTAGAGACATGGCAGTTTCTTGTATCAATCACCTACCTGGTTTTTTTCACAGTGATATTACTGCTAAGTTTTTCCAGTCGACATTCTCCAGTGTCATGATTGATAATTAAGATACATTCCTTTAGATAAGGTTTCTTGGAGCCCTTGAAAACTGTTACTGGTGGAGTTGAACCCTATTTCAATTGGAAAAATATCTAATTAGCATTATACATATAAGTCTATTGAAATGTAAACAGAGAATAAGCCTTTACAGTAATTAAAAATTCATTGTAACTAATCATTTATAGCCTTTTTAAATTTGTTGCTAATTCAGGTGAAACTCAGATTCATAATAACTAAGGGTGAAATCCTGGTCCCGCTGCAGTCACTAGAAATGTTGCCATTGACTACAGCATAGCCTCAATTTCACCCAGCCAGTTAGAAATAAACTGGTAGTCTCAGTCCAGTTTCTAACAGATAGGCACACATGATAAAAGTACCATCAAAAACTTTAACCCTTGTCGACAATATCAGAAAAGCAGTCTGGGATTACAGGAGACTGAATTTTCCTCAGAAACGGTGCCCTCCCACCACTTTGAGTGTTGCACAGCAGCCAATGTCTGAGCTGTACTTGTTTTACAGACAGAGAAGTTTAGGGCTGTCAAATACAACATATTTGAAATGTGAAACATTCCTATACTCAACATATCCGCTGATTCAGTAAGAAAAGCCTTTCCTTTTGAAAGTACTTCCTAATGATAATTAGTACTTCCTAATGATAATCAGCCCTCACCTCAATGTTTGGCAGTGTTATTGTCACCTGTTCACCTTTGCCAACTTCAAGGTCTCCTTCAGAGGATGTATCAATAGATGCAGGTTTGAAGTCATCTACAAGTTAAAAAAAAAACACGAACAACCTGATTTTCATGAGTCCCTTAAATACTGACACACGCATCATAAAATCTAAAGGTGGTGAGTTTGGGGGACACTTAAAATCAACAACTCAGTATCTTCACTAGTGCAGCATCCACCATTCCCTTAGCAGATTTTTCCACTAGGCACAGACCCTCTCAGTCAAGGAGGTTTTCCTGATATTCAACCTAAATTTTATTAAGTGTTGGTGTTAGAGCTCTTCAAAAAAATAATCAAAATAAAAATCTTTCAATAAGGAAAGTTTCTTCTGTTTACCTCACATTAAAAAAGGCCAAATCAGTTTGCTGATACTTGAAGAAAACAATTACCACAGAATTACTTTGGGGTTGAGAAAATTTCAGCCCAAAAAAATGAAAGTAGACTTGAAATACATATGCAGTCCTAACTATAGCATGCTCTTATTTTATTAACAACATCCAAGACAAAATCATACACACTAGATCTCTTTTACTATCCATCTTTCTTAGAAGCCCAACGATGTCTCCATTTGTGCTAGGATTTTCCCTCTTTGCATATTTCAAAGAGCTGGAAAATTAGAGTTGAACATTAGTTTGTTTCATTAAAGTTGGCAGCCCTGCTAACACAGCTAGCATAATTTATTGCCAATGTCCTAAACAAGCTCCAACAGTCTCAAGCTTCGGCTAGCAGCATTTTACAGACCTAAGCATCAAAGTTCTGGTGCTTCTTGTGGTAGGAATGAGACTATGTGTGTCCTCATTGGGTGCTACTGCATAACTAGCACTTTGGGTCACCTTTCCAGAAATGGGTGACTAAATAAATGTCCAGTTTACCTGCTCACAAGAAGTGTAATAGCTAAGAGTACAATAATAAATATTAGAGAAAAATATGAATGTGAGATGAATTTAATGTTAATAAATGCCAAGTAATGAATATTGGAAAACACAATCCAAACTATACATATTAAGTGATGGGGACTAAATTAGCAGTTACTACTCTAGAGAGAGATCTTGGAATCTCTGTGGATAGTTCTCTGAAAACATCCACTCAATGTACAGCAAATTCAAAAAAAGAAAACAATGTTAGGAATCACTAAGAATGGTATAGAGAGTAAGACAGATAATATTTTATTGCATCTGTATAAATACATGGTATGCCCTCATCTTGAATACTGAGTAGAGATGTGGTCACCTCATCTTTAAAAAAAAATAAAAAATAAAAATATCTTGGCACTGAAAAAAGTCCAGAAAACAACAACGATGAGGGTTATGGAATGGCTGCTATATAAGAGATTAATAAGACTGGGACTTTTCAGAGCTGCTAGTGGGATTCCACAGCCGCAGCAGAGCCTAAAGTTAAAATGGTTAAATGAATAACCATTTTATTTACTCCTTCCATAAGACAAGAACTAGGGATCACCAAATGAAATTAATAAGTAGCAGGTTTAATACAAACACAATGAAGTACTTCATCACACAATGCACAGTCAATCTGTGTAACTCCTTGCAAGAGGATGTTGCGAAGGCTACAACAGGATTCAAAAAAGAATTAGATAAATTTCTGGACAAAAGGTCCATCAATAACTATTTGCCAGGATGGACAGGATTGATGTCCCTAGCCTCTGTCTGTCAAAAGCTGGGAATGGGTGACAGAAGATGGATCACTTGATGATTCCCTGCTCTGTTCATTCCCCCATGGCACCTAGCATTGGCCACTATCAGAAGACAGGATACTTGGCTAGACGGACCTTTGTTCTGACCTAGTATGGCCGTTGTTCTATTCTTATGGCTCTTCTGTTTATTTTGCACATTTGAACTCAGTGTTGT